TGACAAAAGAAACACATATACTGTAATTAAAATTCACAACGTGGTTTGTGTTTTTAGTCACAAAAACACTGCTTACCTAGTCAGACATCATTAATCATACATAAGTACAGTACTGTACAGAAACCACTTCATTTGTTTTTTTGTGTAATTATACATCATTATTAAAGTCCCATAATTGTCTACCATTTCACTGATTAGACAAAGTTAATTTGTGAAAAAAAACATAAAGTTTAAAAAGTTGTAAACTGTAAAAAAACATTTAAAACAAATGTATACATCTGGAAGTACCAAATTCATATTTCAGAATCAAGGTGGGTAGCTACGTCAGCATGCGTAGTCTGCAAAGGAACAAGTAATAGGTTTATTCCATGCTGAAAAGTGAAGAGAGAAAACAACGTTTCGGAAGAAGGCTCCATGGCCGAAACGTTGTTTTCTTTCTTCTCTTTTCAGCATGGAATAAACCTATTACTTGTTCCTTTCATAATCAATATCATAATCTAAGTGATGTAATTTCTTGTGGAATTAACTTCTTTACTAAATTTTAATTCCTTTAACATTGCTTGTTGCAAGGATAATGCTGTTTGCTTCCCCATTTGTATTGTAAAATGCTCTTTAAGATGAAAGAATAATCTCAGCAATTATTTGCTTACTTATACAAGTGAATTCTGAATTTCCATAGTATTGGTTAAATTTCTACCTATTATGTATTAACATACTATAAATTACTCGACACCAACAGAATGGTAAAAACAAATGGTATCATCTTTTTTTTGTATGTTGGTGATTTCAAGATGCATTTGTCTGTTTTCTCTATCACAGAAGTTTCTTAAAAAGTGCAGTTTGTTGGAAGTGATTATTTCTGATTTTCTATTTTTGGGTTGAAATGTTGTAAATCATGTGATTAGAAAAAGAGCCTTGTTGTATCTTGGAAAGTATAAATTGGCTAAAGCAAGCTGTCTGTATAATTTATAAGGCCTCAGATAAATCAATGTTTCTCTCAAATGAGAAAAAAAAAGTCAAATCCTTATTGTATGGCAAAGCCTGACTAATTGATGTGGTAAATTGTAGTAAGACAAAATTGCTGAATAACAAGAATAACAAGCTCTTCTTCCACAGTCAGCAGTGTGGCTGTTTGTCTGACTGACCTGGCAGGACAACTGTCTTCCTTCCTGGCAGGCAGTACAAAGCTTCAGTTAACAGTCAAATTGTTTTGTTTAACAAACATCTGTAGGGTTTTTTCACATCTTTAATCAACAGACTTGTGATGATCTACAGACGTGTGGTGTTTCAGACATCAACGGATCTACAGGCATCTTCCTGACTACCCTTGTCTCGGACTTTTGAAGTACTCAAACCTTCAGAAACACAAAAAAGCACAGTAAATATAACATTTGCAGTAGATCAAAGATTTGTGTTTGATGGAGCTACATCAGCATGTGAACTGCAAAATAACAAAGACAGGATAAACCTGCAATGAAAAGTAGAACAAAAATGTTTGGTCTGGTGAATATTCTTCAGGTGTTGTGCACAGATTGGGCCCTAATGCGCAATGTACACAGCTTTTGTGCATTTGAGTGAAGTGTCATGAGCTATTGAGCTGCAGTTCACAGTATGCAGGATAGGCCAGGACACTGTTTTTACAGACCAGAAATTGAAATTGAATATCTGAGAATTGTAGAACTACAGTATATAATCAGTAGAAGCCAGCAGCCATATCACCCTGCAGCTCTCAACTGGCTACCCACTGAAGCTAAGCAGGATTGAGCCTGGTCAGTACCTGGATAGGAGACCTCCTGGGAAGCTATGGTTGCTGCTGGAAGTTGTGTTTGTGGGACCAGCAGG